AACAATCAATAATAACCCGATTACCCATTCCCGTTGTCCTCACTTTACGTCCCTAAAAACAACATCTATTATAAGGAACCTAATTTAGAATTTTCATCAAGACGAACATTACTGCAGATGGGGCTTCCTCAATAATAAGTGTCCTAAAGGCAACCATGTGGGGGATAGAGTACACCGGTGAACACATCGTTCACAACACCTACAGGTTATGAGCCTGCTAGCGTTCCACAGGACTGTCTAGAAGAGTCCGTGGTCGTCATCCATACTCTGCTGAATGACTAGAATAACACCAACAACGAGGCCTCTCATCAATTTATTTCATTGCACACCAACTGTCTACCCATGTTCTGCCCAACATATTAGTAGATAAAAATATATATGTTTTATACATAATTTTTAAAAGAAAAAATGTATAGCATGCTCTTTCAATACTCCATCCAAATAGCAAGTAATACGTAAACACATAACAAGAAATTTCAAGGAGAATCATATAAGTCTATGTGTTAGAAGGTAATAATAATACTCTCACACAACCCGTATTCTTAAATACATTCAACGATTACTTGTATAATATCGTGTATTGAAAGGGACTATACACTCACTTGATCAGAAGATGAGCGGGTAGCACTACGGCTTGTAGAAGTAGTGTTTCTCCGTAGATCTGGAAGATCTTCACAAAAACCAGGCTCCTCGCGGCAGGGCTTCCGCTCGGAAATCTCACTTCTCGGGATCCTCGGGACTTCGGAACTTGCTTCGGGACTCGGGATATGATTGTCACTCAAAACGATGCAGAACTTAGAGAGCAAGGAAGAAAAATCCCAAGGAAAATAGCTGATCTCGAGTTCCATTTATAGGTTGCTGGGTCTGAGATTACGATGGGCGTAATTTCCAAGTACGTTGGGCGTACTCAGTACGCTGGGTGTAATTTGGTTACGCTGGGCGTACTTCGACGTCAATGCATGCGTCATTTGGTGGCACTCGAGTATGGGTCAGACAACTTGCACCCCTCTGAGTATGTTGGGCGTACTCAAATTACGCTCGGCGTAATTTGACTCGTCAAACTTCTAAATTGCGTAAGTTTCGCATACGGGATCCATTTTCGACGTTCTTTATATCCACGCGTAGGTCATACCATACTCTACAACTTTCATTTAGACTCCGTCGGCTAATTTTGATTTTATTTTTTATTATTTATTTTTAGTAGGCCGGGACAGAAAAACTTCGTTAGAAATTCATAACTTCTTCGTCTGACGTCCGTTTTCGTCTTTCTTTTCACCAATGCGCTACTATCAATGAGATCTTCGATTCTCGTTTAGAAAGTTTCGGCTAAAACTCGCTCGATCTTAATTTGAACTTTTGGGCTGTCTACTGCTAAGCTGAAACTTCGAAAAATCATAACTTCCTCATACGAAGTCAGATTTAGGCGTTCTTTTTATGCACACTTTCGGTTCAACATTATCTACGTCTTTTGTGTTGATCACTAAGGCTAAATATCACTCCTTCGTAAATTCACTATTTACGTCACGCTGTGCCACACCGGTTTTGTCGCGAAATTTCGACGGGTCATAAGTTGTTCGTTATAACTCGGATTTCGGCATTCTTTATATTTTCGGAAACCTCGCCTCAACTACTACATCTTCGTGCAAAGATATCGGGCATATCTCACACTTTAATTTTTGACGCTTATTTTATTCTTAATTCATTAAATTATTATAATTAAGAAAATAAACATATAATTCACATAATTCACAAATAATACATTTTTATTATTTCAAATTTGGGTTACAGATGTTAACCTAGACTATTACATTGCTAAAAATGGTAAGCCCAGAAACACGGACGTTACAAACCGGCTAAACCTACGATAAACAGATCATAAGGATGTTTTTTGAACTATTCAAAAAAGTTTAATGGGAAAATTGGGACAAAAAAAACACTGTAACTAAATGTGTACAAATAAAAAAATATGTTACTTTTTAAGTTATTATCCAATAATAAAACAATATATAAAAAAATGTAAAACAAAATAAAAAGGGTAAAAAAAATCTTTTTTTCTTAATCCAAGGACCAACCAAGTGAAAAATGAAACACAAGAAGTTTGTGAATTAAGTCAATTAACTCCTTGAAGTTTTGAATGTTGTCATAGTCCAAGGACCAACCAGGTATCATGCACATAGAAGCTTTGAATGTTGTCATCAATTTGTAAATCTGGTAAACCACAAGTACCATTCCTGTAAATTTGTGAATTAAGTCAATTAACTATGAAATGGGAGCCAAATATGAACAGGAGCATCGAGTTTGGCAGCCGCAAGTGCCTTGTGCCATCACATGAGACTCCATTGACAATAATCAGTATTTAAAAATGGTTGCAACGTGTGTTAATCAATAGATTAACCTTAATTAATTCCTTGAAACCCTAACCCTAAATCCCTAATCCTACTTTGTTAACCCTAACGTCAACACCGAATGACTTTTTATTCTTGGCTTTTGACGTCTTGATGCAGGACATAAGGCGTGTTTATTTTTATAATAAGCGTTTAGTGGAAGCCTAATTTTATATCGATTATACGTGGGAATTAAGTTTGTTAATTTTTTTTATTCTAAAGATGATTTTCTTTTAAAAACCAACTATTCATATACGTGAGAACCTTGAAACTGTTTACACATTGTTTCTATATTTTTTTACTAAAAAACAAACACCCCTTAAGGATTTACTTGTTTAATTTCATGAAGAAATGTTATGTAGATGAAAACATCTGTATAGAAACGGACTACGTATGTAATAAGTAGGAAATGAATAACTATTGTTAAGTTTGATAAATAAGAGACATATTTTTATAATACCGTTAACTTGAAAACTAAAAAAACTTCAGTAACTTGCGGAATAAGTGCAAAAGAAACAATTAAAAACTTCAATAACTTGTCGAACAAGTACAAAAGAAGCAATTAGCTTTCATTAAACTAATTGTTTAATTAAACTCGTTCAAAAAAAAAGTACAAAAGAAACAATTAGCTTTCATTAAACTATTGGATAAGGAACTAAAATACCATTTCCGAGTTTTTGAGGTTTCATTTAGGTGTTGGACAAGAGAGAGAAAGTATATGACATATTTTGGTGTATTAACATATGTTTTGGTAATGGGAAACACCCTTCACATGACCTTTTTATTGATTGGATACCAATTCTTAAAGGGTTAATGACTAAGCTTATTAAAAATACTTTTTCTTTTTAACTTGTAGTTTGTTAGCTTATAACGGTCTTAAAATGGTGTTTGGATTAGATTATCTAGCTTCTCAACGCCATAAGTTGATAAACCCTTTTTAATGTTTGACAAAATGATAAAAAAATTGCTTCTTAAAAATGTTGGACAACTATAAATTATAAGGAGTTTTGATAAGTTAGGAGGTAATAACTTATCAAAAATGACTTACCTCAGATTTCACATCATTATAAGCCGTTTTTAAAAAAACTAATCTATCTAAACTTTCATTTTAACTTATACAGGTATGTTAAATTAAACAACTTTCATTTTAAACTTAGCCAAACACCCTCTTAGTTGGATAACAACTCTTTCGTTAAAAACCTACTATTAATCATTGCATATTTTATACTGAAAAATTAATGTGCAATATAAAATGCATATATATGACCTTCTACACAAATAAAGGCTTCCACATGCACCTTCCTTCGTCCTTCCCTTGACACCATTTAGAAGAAAAGTACTAGAATCGAATATCCTATCTAAAACTATATACAAACAAACACATATAAAATGGGCCTAAACATAATAATGACTTTGAAAATTTTGAAACAATTTGTCAAAAAAAAGTTGTTTCAAAATGAATAATGGTGTTCAAAACTCTTGCTTTTGTTGGATTTTTTTTAAAACAACTTATTCTGAATTAATTTCACAAAAAGATGGCTCAAATTGTTACTTGCGATAAGTGTTCATTTTCGTGGTGATTGCTAAAATTCAAGATATACAAAATCAAAATGTACTCCTTTTAACTAAATTGTTATATTGTTAAAGAATTTCAAGTTAACGAGATCCCTCATAATAAAATATGTTTAACAAGATTATGTGTTGTAATGCCTCTCACAATTCTCATCATTTTTAAAGGTTTGTACTTGATTATATACGTAACAAAATGACAATCTTATGTGGTAGCCTTGAGTTAAGAAAACCTAAATCGAAAAAAAAAAAATCCCAATGCCAAATGTGTTTGTGATTTTAGTCTATGTCGTTAGGCTTTTAAGTGATAGAAATTTAAACAAGTGTCATTGGGATTTTAAGGGGATGTGAGAAGTGCACAACTACACATACATATGGACTAGTTTGATCCCATTGGTGGATAGCCAAGGGATGGATTGGGCGAGGTCAAAGTTAGTACCTCTAATAAATGTGTTAGGATCGGAGGTATATTGACATAAAGTAGATTGAAGAGTTGACATTGACATTAGATATATATTTTGTATCTAGTGTTTGTTACACATGAAATATATGATAGGTAGCTACTAATAGATTTGTATCATCAACTACTTAGTAGCAAATCGACAACTAGTGATCGTATTAATAGCTACCGATATAGGCATCTACTAATAACATGAGTAGCTAATGTTATTAAACATTAGTAATTTTCCAAAATCACCTAAAATCATCCCATAACTGCCATTTGTGATGACCAACATTTTTGAAGCTTTAATGCATATATTTTTTTTTTTTTTTTAATTTTATTTTATTTTATTTTTATAAATCACACACAAGCGTTATTAATCTCTAGAACATAACTTCGAGTTTTGTTGTCGAAACTCATCGATTGAATGATCCCAGAACAAATTTCATGATACCCGAACAATAAAGGAACTGTCAAACATTATCTTTTCCAATCGAAGTTGATCACACATTTTACCCCGTTACAAAAAAGTCAATTTGTTTTAAACATTTATAAACTTTGGATAAAAAATTAGTAATAGGACCAAATAAAAATCCAAATTAGGTTTATAATTTCGAACATATGCCACGACTTGTCGACCCCACATAAAATTTCCCTGTGTTTAGAACCGGAACCGGAACCAGTGCAATCTTTGTTGCCATTTTAGCAGCATCATCCGCCGAATGCTTTCCATTGCCATCCGTCATGGCGGTTTGAGTGAACCCCGGACAAAAACAATTCACACTCACCACCCCTTCATATCTCTTTGCCAAAACTTGAGAATATGCATTCAATGCAAGCTTAGCCACCGAATAATCCGTCCATATCTCCGGCCACCCTTTTGTCTTCCATCTCCCTTCTTTCACATCTTCTAAAAACGCATTCACCACCATATCTATTCGACCTTCACTCAACGTTTCTTTATCACCAAGTATTGCCTTCATTTGTGGGTTATTTAGTTTCTGCATTTAATTAATCAATCAATTGTATATTCAATATATATGGTCTTAATCGAATCAGTTAATTTGATGAATAATTAGGTACATACATCTAATGTGCCAAGTCGAGAACTGATATTAAGGATGCGGCTCATGGAAGATGAACGACGAAAAAATGGCAACATGGCTTCGGTAAACTGTTTTGATCCGTAGTAATTAGTCTTGATCACAGTTTCAGCATACTCCATGGAGTTTTCGTTCATTGCATTGAAACATACAGCTGCATTGTTCACCTGTAATAATAAATACCGATTCGATGAATATCAACAAAAAATAAATTTTCGATATTTTTAATGTGGTTTTTTGGATTGTCATGAGTAATGTTTTTGGGAATCCAAACAAGACTGGATCAATTGTATATACATATATGGATCTACAAAAAGCTTTTTGTAACGGGTGTCTTTCTTTTTTATGTGTTTATTATGAAGTTGAAGAATGATTTAAAGAAGCGACAACCACATTGAAAAACTTAAGAATACTCACTAATATATCGAAAGCCTTGAAACTGGATCGAAACCAAGAAACAAAAGACTGAATAGAGATTGGATCAGATATGTCAAGCTGAAAGAAACGAACATGATGATCTACTCCAAGAACCTTAAGTGAATCCATGGCTTGTAAACCTCTTGATTGATCTCTAGACGTTAACACAACTGTTAACCCCAACTCAGCAAAGCGTTTAACCAATGCATACCCGATACCCTTGTTTGCTCCGGTGATAATGACTACGGAGTCCTCCGACCACCACCTTGTGGTGGTTGTGGGGTGGGAAAGTGGTGGTTGCTGATGTCTACAGGATGATGCCATGGCGGAAGTAGATGAGAATGTGGGAGTAAGATACCAATGGCTACTAATTAATGTCTAACCAAATCAACGTTTATCTATATATATATATATATTGAATTGGTTAGTATGCTATAAAATGGAAATGGTAAAATGTTATTAAAATAATAAAAAGTTACTTGCTTCCTATAAATAAATAAATAAATAATTCTCCTCGTGGTGCTACTAGCTAGTTTTAAACTCGTCTAGGTTTATGTAGGTGTTAGCGTCCACATATTTAACTATTCGGAAAATATAAAACAAAAGATGTTCCTAAACGATCTACTAAATAAGTTTTACTTTTGTTTAATTTTAATATTTATTTTAGAAAAGTTATATATTTAATTTTTAATATAGTTTTACTGTTATAAAATTTCATATCGTTTTGTTTATTTTTAATTAATATGATCCAATTTATTGTCTTAATTATAATATTTATTTTTAAAAAGTTATGGATTCAATTTTCAATTTAGTTTTACTGTTATAAAATTTCATATCGTTTTGTTTATTTTTAATTAATATGATCCAATTTATTGTCGATATGAGTATGTTCAACATCGTGATTTAATTTAAGACATTTTAGAAACTTTAAATTTTTAGATTTAAAAAAAATAAAGAAAAAACAAATGTTTAAGAATAAGATTTTAAATGAAGCTCATAATTTAAAAGTTATTCAAATAGCTTTTATTAACGTTTTGCCATTTTATAAATTTCAAATGGTTATTTCTAAATAAACAAAACTACAAGTTACACATTTCCGTCTCCAACTATGGTTTGTAGCTTACAACTTTCAGCTGTAGCTTTAAATTGAGTTTTAATTTTTTTTTTTTTAAATCAGTAAAATATTTATACATTAATGAAATTAAAATAAGAGTAGATTATACGAATAGTCCATACGGTTTGAGGTAATTTACATGTTTGGTCTTTAATTTATTTTTTTAACTTATAAAGGTCCATACTGTTTGTTTTTGTTGTGCGCTTAGTCCATTTCTTTCCTAAAAAAACTAGTTTACCCTTAATTTTTTAATTTATTTAAATAAACATAACCCAAGCACATTTCCATCTTACCTTGCTATACATTGTCTACCCACTTTATTTAAAGAAATTTTAAAAAATGAAAGACAAAATAGTTTTTTAGAGGTAAAACAGAAACCAAACGCGCAACACAAACAAACTGTAGAGATCTTTCGAATTAAAAAAATAAGTTAGGAATCAAATATACAAATTATCCAACCTATAATGACCATTCATGTAATTTTCTCTTAAAAGAATTATTTTTGAATTTCAATTGTCTAACTTTATAGAACATGCCACCTAATAAATAGTTCATGTCGTACATCTGGCTTTGAATTGGCACTTGGCAGTCCCAAGCCCTCATTGCTGTCCACCTAAGTCACCAGCACTTTGAATTGGCACTTGGCATTACCACATCATAGCACCATTGCTCGTTGGGGAAATTGGCAGTCAAACATGTTAGCATATATAAAATCATATTGTATCGAATAATAAGTTTTTCTCGTTTTATTTATTTATTTTTTTGGAAACATCGAATAACATTAAAAAAGCCACTCAAGGCCGGTCCAGACGGTGGGCAACCCGGGCGACCGCTCAGGACCCACGTCTCTAGGGGCCCAAAAATTCTAAGCTATGTAGTGTATATATATATAAAAAAAACTTATTGCCTAAATGATTTTTAGATTATAAAGTTTGTTCAAACTCAAACTAGTTCAAAAGATAGTCAATTTTGTTTGCTTGTTATTGTTAATTGAACACGTCTATAATGAATAATAAATGATATTTTTTTGAATCTTGTTGGAATCCTAAGTCGAGTAGGACTTGGAGACCAAGTAATAGCAACCTAGTTTTTAGGAAATCATAAACAAGTAGGTTTCTAGTTTCCTAATTGTAATCTAATTACAAGTCTGTAGTTAGGAGTATATATACATTGTTTTAGGTCGAGTTATGATCATCGGAAAGCATTGTAAACACCGTAAGTTTTGAGTGATATTCTCACAATAATCAAAGAGTTATTTTGATTAACATAACCATGTTTACATATTCTGATCTTTAATTGGTATCAGAGCAAGGTGAAGACGGTGCCGGTTTGAGAGTCGGTTTCAAGAATACCGTAGCCTTTCGCTGTGGGGCAGACGCAACGGGAATCGGGTTTGTTTCAAGGGGATGTAAATTGTTTTTGATTACGAGTTGAAGCATCTCAACAACAGCCTCAATTTTTCTTGATCAAGCTGGTTCTAAGGTAGAGAGAGACCAACCGGAGGCGCAAAATAAATGGACGAGAAGATGTCAAAGCGGGTGACTTTGATTTGGTTCGTTTTGCGAGTGACGGAAGACGATAAATGTGTTCGTGACCTAGTTTTGTTGTTAGGTGGAAAGTTGCTCTCAGAACAAGCTTGATAAAGAGGTTGGGGTGGTGAAAAGAGATAATATGATATTGATCGGGTTGAAGAATTCTCTAGAAGGACTTAGAGATTCGGGGGTGATTGTTGGAATCCTAAGTCGAGTAGGACTTGGAGACCAAGTAATAGCAACCTAGTTTTTAGGAAATCATAAACAAGTAGGTTTCTAGTTTCCTAATTGTAATCTAATTACAAGTATGTAGTTAGGAGTATATATACATTGTTTTAGGTCGAGTTATGATCATCGGAAAGCATTGTAAACACCGTGAGTTTTGAGTGATATTCTCACAATAATCAAATAGTTATTTTGATTAACATAACTGTGTTTACATATTCTGATCTTTAAATCTTTATTATATTCGTCTTTAAGGGGTTCTTTTTTTTTCGCCTCGGGCCCCATATACGTTTGGACCGGCCCTGAAGCCACTCGACTAGCAAGAAACTAGTCGGGGTGAAAGCAAGGTATAGGAATAACAATTTACAACACTGAAAAAAGGAGAACAAACCCACTCCACCCGGTTACACATATTTTTGGAACCCTTATACTCAATATTTGGCAAGTGCTACCTTTATTCCGAACTCTTTGAATTCCAATGTTGATATGTGTCGTCGATGTAACATAAATAGGAAAAAGAGGGGAGAAGGAATGTGGGTTAGCCTTCAAACATTGTTCTTTTTGTCGGGTGTGTAAAATGTTAGAAATATGGTTTAGTGACATTTGGAAATCTGCGAATCGTGATAATCACTTTCAAATCGAAGTATTTGGGTGGTACTCCCAAATCCTCAATTAGATAAGACTCAGATAAAATCAGAGAGAAAAAAAAAAGAAAGAATGAGATGGTGTAATTTCGTGGTACCAGAAAAGTGACTAAAATTGGTTATAAACTTTCCTTATCTGAAAAACTGTCAAAACTGTCATATAACAGTTTTTCTCAACAGTAAGAACTGTTATAAATCCGGGTTTTGTATAAAGATTAATTCAAAGTCAAAACCGGGTCAAATATTCAAAATTTGTATAACAGCTCGACCCCAGCCAGGGACTCTGCCCCTTGGACCCCGCCAGGGGCTGCCGCCCGTTAGACCCCGCTCCCAGGGGCGCTGCCCCCCGACCCCCGTTCGTTCAGGGGCTTCTCCCCTAAATGACAGTATACTTTAATACTTGATCAAACTTAAACAAGTGTGTACTCCATACTTTCCTTACTTGCTTAATATTTATCAAGATCATTTTTAGTCAACAAAGTAATCCCTATTACACTTAAATAACATTGATGATAACAAATCACCAACAAACCTCCCCCATTTAAGTGTAATCTTGATTAACTTAAAATGAAACATAACACCAACAAAACTGATGCATAAATGAAATATCGTGACGATTGAATTTCACATTGGTATATTATATAATCCAAATATTCGAATATCAGGGTATCACTAAGGATTGAACCCTTTCTATCCATAGTGAATACATGAAGATAATACACACAACAGTTTACATTCTCATAAGTTCTAACTTGATACTATATTTTACTAGCTTGTGTCCCATCCTTCAATAAGCATATCAAAGCCAAGTCCTAACTTCTTGAAGCAGCTAAACTTCATGCTTATATAAGTAGTTCTTTTATTCTTGCACCTGCAAATGCAATTTTTCAAAATAACTATTAAGAATATAAATTCAACCTCCTTAACTTGCAGTACTGAACACATACCTTGGGATGATGATAATAATGTGTTCCAGTCTTCAAATATCAAGCTTTCCACATTGAATTCAGCATCTAATATTACATTAGATGGGAATTGGGTATCTCAATATAAAAGATTTTAAGTGGATTTTAAACCCATCCCTACAGCCGCCTTGTGCACAAGATCTCTTGCTAAGCCTTTTGTTAGATTATCGGCTAAATTAAATTGAGTTCTTACAAAGTCCACAGATATCACACCAGTCATGATGAGCTCATGAATCATGTTATGTCTAACACCTAAATGTCTAGATTTCCCATTGTACACTTGACTATAAGCCTTAGCCAAGGTAGCAGCACTATCACATCTGATAGAAATGGTAGATATCGGTTTAGGCCATAATGGAATTTCATAAATCAAATTCCTTAGCTATTCAACTTCTTTACTAGCAGCAGACAATGCAACGAACTCAAACTCCATGGTTGAGTTAGTAATAAAAGTCTGTTTCTTAGATGCCTAAGAAATGGCACCTCCTCCAAGAAGAAACACCCAACCACTTGTAGAGGAGTGATCCTCTAAGTTGTTAACCCAGCTGGCATCTGAATAACCTTCCAAAACAGAAGGATATCCACTATAAGTTAAACCATAATTAATGGTCCCTTTTAAGTACTTGAATACTCTACTCACAACTTGCCAATGATATGAACTAGGATTACTAGTATATCTACTAAGCCTTCCCACGGTATATGCTATATTAGGCCTAGTACTAATCAGGCCATACATTAGACAACCAATAGCCCTTGAGTATTCAAGTTGAGACACTGGAGATCCTTTATTAGGTAGAAGCTTAAGACTAGGATCTATAGGAGTGCTAATAGGAGAACAATTCTC